TAGATGGCGAAGCTATTGGGGTTAACTCAATGAAAGTCACCGCAGGAATTAGTTTTGCCATACCCATTGACTATGTTAAACTATTTCTTAAAAAAGCTGCAGAACGACGCAAACAAGGTGTCAGCAGGATGGATTATCCTGCCAAACGCTATATGGGCATAACAATGCTGACACTAACACCCGACATACTCTTCGAACTAAAAAATCGGACGCAAAATGTACCCAGCGACCTGCAACATGGCGTGCTTGTGTGGAAAGTAATCATTGGCTCGCCGGCGCATACGTAAGTATTTTTTTTATACATAAATATACGTTTGTTGATATTTGCAAGAACATCTTAAGTCTATCTTTAACGTACAAATATGCCAGTTGTTGAAAACAAAAACATTTTAAAAGGTTGTGAATGGCGATAAAATAATTTAATAGGTTTGGCAGAAAAATCGAGCAAAGTTTCAACTGTCAGCTTATATCAAATAAACTCTAAAACTTACTTGTGGAACGCGTATGATGTACTCGAAGTGGTTTCGAGTAGCTTCTGTATTCTTCATATATGTATATGTTTGGTCGACATATGCTATTTTGTTTGCGCCTAAATACACACTTAAGTTGTTCTTTCAAATGTCAAGGCGCGATGTGACTAAATAGTTATTCCTTTTATTTTCAGTGGCGGTCTCTACCCTGGTGATATTGTTACGAAAATCAATGATAAAGACATCAAGAATTCCTCAGATGTTTATGAAGCTCTAGCTGATAAAACAAAATCGCTCGATATAACCATTTTCCGTGGTATGAAGAAAATGACCGTAAAGATTGTGCCTGAAGATCCTTAAGAACGGTTTAGTATAAGACACTGTTGCACTTTACCGCAAAAGAATTTTGCAATGTTCTGGTATGAAAAAACCTTCAAAGTTTAGCCGCACTGCCTACAGAAAGCCAGCTGCTAAAAAGCCGCCGTAAGAATTAGTTGATATTACATATACAAAAAATTTAATTTAAGGAAGCATCATTTTCATGTAAGAAAACAGCCAAACTTAATAAAAAAGTTTGAAGTTAATTAAAAAAAGATAAAGAAAGTTAATCGTTAACATTAATCAATTAAACTAATACAACAATTTAATGGTTATAAAGTAAAAGTAATTGAATATGCAAGTACAAATACAAAAAATACTAACCACATACAAAATTATAAATCACAAAGTCAAACGCCGCATGCAGCTCTCTACTTTTAACTCAAGCAAAACCACATTCAACATTTCCAAAATATTTTAATTTACTACTTTTGCATAACCTGGTGACACCAATTTTGCAAAACACCTTTTATGATTTATTTCTTCCACTACACCCATGGTGCAATCGGTAAGTGCTGCATGCAATTTTCGTTATCTTATTTATGTTTTCTTTATCAATATTTATTTAGACGGACGTTTTTTTTGCAATTCGTTTTGTGTTTTTTTTTTAATTTTTATCCTTTTCGCTTTGGAGAAGTTGACACCGGTCATGTGTGGGTCAACATATTGTAGTCCACATTTCGGGCGATTGCGCGCCTGGATATCCGATAAATCAGTTTCTTTTGTAAATAAAAAAGATGTTTGTAATGATAACGCAATGAATTAAATGTTTTCAATACATTCATATGTACATAGTATGTATGTATGTGTATCTATAGCCGCTGGCTGCTGCAACATTTAACGCTTATCTTTTTTCGTAATTTAGCTTCCTTTTCAATGTTGCGTGCGAATTATGGTAATTATGAATGAACGAAAAACACACACGGTGGCGAGCTACCGCATCTCCATTGCGATTGTAAAACTTTTCTTGATGCTCCCAATAGATAAGACTTCGTTTTGTCAGAGTTTGAGTTTGCTCAAGCAACAGTAGCGTCAATTGTTGTTGTGATCAGACATTTGCATTTCGATTTCATTGAATGCCGCTGCATTAATGCAACGGTTTCATCTTCAATTCCACTATGTTGTACGTATTTGCGTGCAATATTTTCGCCATATTGCTACCTACATATGTATACATACATATATGTGTGTTTAAAAATACGCAGCTTATATCGTTTGCATGCCTGCACGATTTACACTAATTGAAATATCTGTGCCTTACAATCAATTGATGCAAAATTTTTTCTCCTTGAGCCGTCTCTATACCGCCTTCACTCTGCCTGCACTAATCTTTTGTGTCTTGCTATCCAGCTGGTAAATTTTCATAAATTTCTGTGCTAACCATGGGTGACACTCGACATTTGTGCCAATCAGTGCGGCTCTTTAGGCATACCTACCTACTAATATACATACATACATACATATGTGCTAACCAACTGTGCGTGTAAAGTGCTCAGGCGCTTATGCTTTGCCGCTGCGCGCATTTCGTGGCTCTTCTGCTGTCTACTTGTGTGCGCATGCGCCGCACGTGTGTGTGTATAAGCTTGGCTTATAGCCTCGAAATTGGGCCAAAAAGTGAAATTGGAAATGCGAGGATTTAATTTGCTTGGCTTGTGTGACGTTTTTGCATAAATTGCGGGTCATTGTTATGATTTTATTTTTACGTATTGTATTTTCTCCTCTTTCGAAGCCCTTTCTTTCTCTACCTCCCTTTTTGTGTTTCGTGTCATTGGCAACTTAATCGCTGTTCATTGATTGGCTGCTGAACTTGGCGCTTGTTTATGATATTGCAAAGCTTACGCGCTTTATATGTGAAAACGAGACTTTTATTGCATTTAAGCAGTCAATAAATGACACATACGATTAATAAATTTTTCAATTTTATATGCCATCGAAAATGTTACACATTTATCAACTTTCGTTGTAAGGATGCGTGGGTTTGCCGAAGGCAACTGAATAAATAAGATTTTTTTTGGGTGAAGTTGACAAGTAATGTGACATGGTAAGTGGGATAAACCACAAGCTAACAATAAAAATAAAATTAATAAATTCAATAGGGTCGGTCCACAGGAACAAAGACGTTAGGGTTGTCAGGTTTTCCGGACATACGAAGAGATGTTTCGAGTCGTGGAGTGTCTCTCCGCATGCCGGACACTCATTTGGCACATCTGCATCTAATCTGCTTAGGTATGAGTGTAACCAGCTGCAGTAGCCAGCGCGAAGTTAGGCTACTGTGGTTCTAGTCTCCCGAGGCAGAGAAAGCTCCGTTTCGTCGTCGATGTCCGGTGGTTGTGCGCCTAGAACGGTATTTACAGGTCTGGAGTCTACTTAACTCGAGACTGACTCCCTGTGAATGCCGCTAAGGGCCTGTTGATAATGCCTCCTGACGTACCTGGGCGAGGGCTCTTCTGCAAACAGTTGTCTATTTGGGTGACCACATCTATGGCTCCCAACTAGGAAGTGCTTGCAGAACAATATGTTGTGCTCCTTTACTGGGAGAATTTTCGCCTCTTCATGCAGGTGGTGTTCTGGCACGCTGTCCGTAGTGCGGTGTTTTGGGTAGTCTGCAGCTGCATCCACTGCGTCCTACTAGTCCCCGGCGACCCACTGGTGCTGCGTAATTTAAAACCGGCCGGCCTATTGCCTTGTATGTTGCCCCCAACGTTTATTTGGCTTTGCCCCAAGTACTGCCGGCTTGCGACTTGAGGACCTTGTTGCGGCTCTGTCGAAGGTAACTCCGGGTATTTTGGCGTTATTCACAGTCGGATTTGGTTTATCATCGACGTGAATTTCCAGCGGTAGCCTGACCTCCTTCGTCCAGGTGGTGAACAAGGTCGCAGAGGATTTTGTAGGGGAGAGGATTAGGCTCCCTGCAGTGAAGAAGCGAGAAATCTCGGAGAGATACCCATCAATACACAAATCATCGATTCCATTCCCAGACGCCATGTTCGAGCAGTCGTGCCAAAAGCCCGTGTGGTAGGTCGAAACATCTACCACAATACTCCGAACAGCTAAAGGATGGCATCGGCTCAGCAATCAGCATCTCTACGAACTGAAGAACGAAGTACGGAGCTGCGACAACCACTGGACAATCACCGCCTTCACCAACTTCCGTCCCACGAATGTCGTCATCGCTACCACATTCTGAGGAATAGATTCAGCTTCTAAGAAATATTCGAGTTACATTGGCTAGATTGCGGTCTGGATATTGCAGTGGGTTAAGTTCCTAATTATCCAAAACTGAGCCCGACGCACCAGTTGTAGGGCGACAAACCCGTCTTCACAAGCCCACTCAACCCAACTCAGCTAACACCCCTGTCCCTCTGGTCCGACCCCGAGGAAACAGTACATTTCTTGGACAACGATTGAGGGACTATATGACCCTAGACTGTTTTAGTTCCCGCTACAACGAGAATAACACCAGCACGAACCGTCGCTCGCTCTGGAAGCCATTTTCGCTTTATTTCAGGATGGCGTTTTATACTTCTCAAGTTTCCATTGATGCTTCAACGTCCAGATCCCACCTTTCCGCACGGAGTATACTTTCTGCATATTATTCGCCAGTTTTCTTCACTAAGCATTTTCGCTGTTTATAATGTTGTTGCGCCATTTGGACCTGCAAGTGGTATAGTTCTTCTGAATTGGAATCTCAGTGTACTTTGTCCAATCCACAACAAGGGAGATGCCGTAGTTTAGTTTGCATTGCATACGTATCCCCAATAAGCGCACTGAGCAGCTAAATGGCCAGCAAACTTCAGTTTTATCTGACACCATTTCGATGCGCCTCAGGCTGATGCGGCTCAGTGTTTGGTATTTACCCACATCCTTATTCTAAAATTAGCCCCGCCAATGATTGATGCGAGTCAGTTGATTGCTGCTTGGTGCAGTTAATTTGACCATGAAGTCCTCTTCTGCGTTGGAAAAACCAGCTGGAAAAGGACCTGACTTCACTTCGCATTTCCAGTTAGCGTCGGCTTGCACAGCAACGACTGGCGAGCTCATGAGGACTCGGCCAAAATTTTATTTGTCTTCACCTTCGTCTCCGTTCTCGTTTTCGTGTTCATCTACGCCTACGCATTCGTTTCCGTACTCGCGATCGCATCCGCAAGTATGTTCGCTTTCGTATTCATCTTTGTCTTTGGATTTGCCATAGGTTTTGTCATTGCCTTGTTATTAGTTCTACCTTAAGAGTGTCCAAATTTCCACTGACTTACTACCACTCTTTAAGGGAAAAACAGAAGCTGCTTTTGCTTTCTAAGCCACAAAAGTAAAGTCTGGTTTTCTCCAAGAAAAAATGTAATAAAAAAAATTAAAAAAAAAACAACGCTTATAAAACTCAGTAAACAATATTTAAAAATAATTTTTTTTTTTTAAATAAAAGTTATAACCGTTTCGGTCCCTGTTGGTATTAGAGAAGGCTTCGTTAGACTGGTTTGTAAACGCATGGACCAGATTTCGGGTATTCAGTGAACGATCAAAGGAGTATAGGGTGTGTTGGAGCAACGTAATAATTACCACATTATTGCAGCCGCGAGGATTTCTTGATAATATGTCGCTGACGATATACTAAAAATCTTCTGAAATGCTGCAGAAATTGTGCAGTAAAAATTTTATGTTGCTTTTGATTTGCCAATAACATAGAAAGTGACACTGTCGTATTAATAGCAGCTCGAATACACTTTTACACAAAACAAACAAAAAACTTAAGGCACNTATGTACTTATATTTTTAATCAAGAAAAACTGAACTTTAAATGGATATTATTTCTAGGAACTTTTATTTTATTTTTGCATAATGGAAAGATAAAAACTACGCAGCCTTAACGTCTCTTCGGGCATCTTAAATTTCCACGCGCAATTAATATGAACATCAAATTTTACAAATTAAAATATCACAAACAAAGCCATAATCAATTGCGGTTAATTGTAAAGGCAGCTGCGCAAATATGCTGTGGTAGTAGAAGAGTGCATCTGCATATACATACATACATATGTACTTACAGTGGTCGAAATAATTATAGCCACACCACATTTTGACAAGTTTTAACACATTTTTTTTTTGTTATTTAATTTTGTTTTTTTTTTTTCAAAATATAGTTCGTCATGTAACAAACTTTGTGCAATATTAAAAAAAAAATTCAGCAAACTTTCGTAAAAATTGCTAACTTTTTTAATTAGATTTCCTAGAAAGATTCTGAGTATGCAGTTTTGTAGCCCATTGAATTCTAGGAGAACAAAGTACCAATTTTAAATGGCTAAAAATGACGGTAGATTTTTTAGAATTCAATGGGCCACAAAACTGCATAGTCAAAATCTTGCTAGGACTGCTGCTACTAATTAAAAAACTTAGAAATTTTTACGAAAGTTTGCGGAATTTCTTTTTATATATTTCACAAAGTTTGAAACCTGGATTTACACGGGTTTTGTTAAAGAATGAACTATATTTTTATCAAAAAAATAACCAAAATGAAATAACAACAAAAATAATATGTAAAAACTTG